GTTTGCTGTTGGGTTTATCTTGTGAGGGAGAACCCATTCTTACTGTTAATTCTTAACACTAGTCAGTAGAGGTCTGGTTCCATTTCTTTATACTTTCAAAATGTTCAAAAGGCACCATTTTTTGTAAGGTACGTGTATCAGTCAGTAAGAAAAATACTCATGCTCAATCTCAATCTCGGACAAAAATGGGAAAGCCATCCCCACGAAAGTCATTTAAAAAATGTAAACCATGAGCTGGTTAAGTAAATTTTGGGAGATCCCTACAATTAAGGACCAAGTGGCTGTTAAAACTGAGTGGACGACGTGTAGCTGTAGAAAGCCACAGTGAATTATGAAAGAAGGAAGAATTTACAACGTAACAGGGCAATGTAAATGTCCTCTTTTATGTGCCCTGTCCTGTATACATGTTACATTTACAGTAAAAAAAAAATGACCCTGGATAGTCTGGTTCCATTTTTGAAGAATATACGTATATTATCCTACACAGAAGAAACTCTTTGGAATGGACTATCCGAAAATTCCCACAAAAGTATCTCTGGGTGGTCACTTAGGATTTTTTTTTCTTCATCCTCATGTGCTTTTGCTAAAATGAACATACGCTGCCAGCACAGTAATAAAATTTTATTAAGTAAAAGAGAGTGGAGACCCAGTCATCTGCTGTGGCAGAAATACGGTCCCAGCCATTTCCAAAATCAACAGTTCCTCCTCGGGTCACCTGGGCCGGAGTCCCGCCGAGGGCGGGCTGAGGTCTGGAAAGCCGTCCATCACTTGGGAGCGAGGCCGCTGGACACGGGGTTGGGGTTCGAGTGTGACTCGCACACACCGTGGGCCGCCACCTGCCTCTTTGACTCACTGCCCTGCAGGGTGGCTGCGTGTCGCCCAGGTTTGCTCTGCTCCTGCTCGTGGGCCGAGGGCCAGTGCTCGCTTGCTGAGCGTTGCTTGATGTTGTGACACCCAGAACCGGTCACTACACGCCGTGAAACATGCGGGCGACGGAGGTGTGAGCTCCTGGCCTTGCTGGCGACGTCTCAGGCAGGGAGACGTACCCTTAAGCATCTCAGTTCTGCACTCCGGGTTGCCTGCGCTTGGCTTTTCTCCCTGTGTAACTCCATCTGGAATTCTGTTTTCTCATTATTACCTGCTTCCGGATAGTTCATGAGAGATTTCAACTGGGCCACTTGTCTGGTTATTCTGGCACCTTCCAGACAGGCTGGCTCCAAGGTTATGAGGTAGTTTGGACTCATCGAGTGCCTTTATCAGGGAGGTTTTCAGAGGAGGGAATGCGTCTGTACGAAATTCTTACAGAGCGGCGGCTTTCAGAGCCAACGTGTCTGAGTCTAAAAACAGCAACCTGGTTAGACAGGGGTCCACCCCAGGGCGTCTTCCCGGGCCGTGCTCACATCACCAGCTGACTCCTCGAGTCGGGGTTCAGCGGGCTGGCTCCCTTTTCATTTTCCTTGTGGGAAGCTGATGATGAGAGGAAACGGCCAGAGTTGGAAAATTCCAGTCTGATCCAGCTGCTCCCGCCTCATCCTGGACGTAGGCTTCTTTGGTTTCTGTTTGTTCTTGTTGGTCTGTGTGTGTGTGCGTGTGTGTGCGCGCACTCAACATGGAAAGTGCTTTTTCCAAGGCCTGTACAGGGCCCGTGGAATAGATGACCAGTCTAAGACAGGAAGCAATGACAGGCTTAACCAGCAATGTATATCAAGCTGGAGACAGAAGATTAAGACCAAGGATGATGGATGTTGGGTCAAAATATGAGAAAGATGGCAGAATGCCCAGTCTAAGAAGATTAACTTTTAATGGAAGGTAGCAAGAATGATAAACTTAGGTTGGGATTTGCTATCTGCAGAAATAGTTAACTTATCATGTGTTGGGTTTAAGAGGCTTTGACTTGTCAGCCTATAGATGACTATAAAAATAGGGATCGTTTTTATAATGAGATATAAACTTGACAGTTGATTCATGTTTATAAAGTGTTGTTGGAAAGCATACTGAGGGGGGACACAATGGCGTTTAGAAGTGATGGGAAGTGAGAATGACTAATAACTAATGCCTCATGTTGACGAGAATGTCACTGCCAGATCTGAGTGATGTCACCCTTTCGGTGAATTTGGCAGATCCAATCAGCCTTGGCTGTACTGCCATCCAGTTTTGCTTGTCCGCTCTGCCCCCTGTGGCTCGGGGCTTCGTTATTTATGACCATCCACGTTTCCCTTCTCAGGAAGCATACTCCTCTCTGTGTCCAGTACCCAGTGCGGCCCGTGGCGCCTGGTAGGTCCCAAACACAGTCACTGCTTTACCATTTATTTAATGATTGCTGTTCACATGTAGAAACTATGGTAGGCCCTGAACAAAGTCCAAATGCCTTTACAGAGAAATTTGTAGGGTTTTGTTTGTTGGGTATTGGTTGATTTTTTGGTCATTGAGACGGAGACACCAATACTGGATTGTGATTTAGGGAAAGGAGGAGGAAGAGATTCTGACAATAAGTGTTAAAAATACAGCTGGGGTCTATTAACAGAGATCCTTGTGCCCTGCCTCCCCTTCACAGCCCCTTCCCTGTGACCGTGGCTGGCAGGCCTACCTTTCTGTTTTTCCCCACCCACCTCCCTCAAAGTAGCCAGAGGGCTGCTGTTGCCCCAGGAAATTGCTTAGAAAGACCCGAAGACCAAAGAGAATAAACCACAGACAAAGCAAAACAGTGCAAAACAAATAAACAACCTGCCAAAAATGTAAATGAAATCTTCGATTTTTTTAGACATTGTGATTACTTTTTTTGAAAACAGTCTTCTCAACTTTGAGTACCTTTGAAAGTCAGTGACTTATTTAAAAATCTTCTGTTTGTGAGCTGCTAGGAAAACCATTGTATAGTGATTGTTATGAACACTTGAAATACTTTTTTAAACATTTTTTATTGATTTATAATCATTTTACGATGTTGTGTCAAATTCCAGTGTAGAGCACAGTTTTCCAGTTATACATGAACATATATATATTCATTGTCACATTTTTTTCTCCATGAGTTACCATAAGAACTTGTGTATATTTCCCTGTGCTATACAGTATGATCTTGTTTATCTATTCTACAAGTCTGAAATCCTGTCTATCCCTTCCCACCCCCCACCCCCTTGGCAACCACAAGTTTGTATCCTATGTCTGTGAGTCTATTTCTGTTTTGTATTTATGCTTTGTTTGTTGTTGTATTTTTCTTTCTCTTTCTGGCTTACTTCACTTAGAATGACATTCTCTAGGAGCATCCATGTTGCTGCAAATGGCGTTATGTTGTCGGTTTTTATGGCTGAGTAGTATTCCATTGTATAAATATACCACATCTTTATCCAGTCATCTGTTGATGGACATTTAATCCTTTAATCACCACTAACACAGTAAGTTAAATACGATAAGCAATTAATGACAGTGATTAGTAAACAATAAATATTAGCTGAACCCGTGACTACCAATTTCCTGGAAGACAGGAAATAAAAGGGAAGTAAGGTCACCAAAATCGGGCAAACTTTGGCCCCAGTACCATGTACTTCCTTTCCCCCTCCCTCTTTTCATCTATTTATTTATTTACTTAGCAAATGTTCATAAAATCACCTCACTGTGCCAGACACTGGGCTGAGGTCACCGTGGTGACCACATAATCAACGTTCCTGCTTTCTTTGTGGGTTAACTGTGACAAGGCTGCTGCTGAGTGGTACCCATGAAAGAGCCATGAAAGAGATTATCAAGAATTATCCAAGTAAACTGAATGGCCAAATCCACCTCTTTTCTCCTGCAATATAAATCTTTGTGTAAAGCAAGGTCTTTCCACTTCGGCACCGTGGACGTTTAGGGTCAGATGGTTCTTTGTTGTGGGGGACAGTCCTGGGCATAGCAAGATGGCTGGCAGCATCCTTGGCCTCTACCAACTAGATGCCAGTTGCATCACCCAGTTTTGACAACCAAAAATATCTCTAGACATTGCCCAATATCAAGAAAAATCATGTTAATTAAGAACCACTGAATAAACAAGTTTCTTCTGTATAGCCCAGGGAACTATATTCAGTATCTTGTCGTAACCTATAATGAAAAAAGCATATGGAAAGGAAAATATATATATGTATGGGTGAAACATTATGCTGTTGCACCAGAAATTGACACAGCACATTCTAGAAAACTGACTAGATTTCAATAAAAAAATTTTTTTAATTAAAAAAAGAGAACCATTGAGAGAAAAGAACCATGAAAAGGAATTTTCTTGATGTTGCTTCTCACATACCAATGTTCAGGGCTGGACACTAAAGGAATTACAGAGGAAGGAGGGTGTGTGTGTGTGTGTGTGTGTGTGTGTGTGTGTGCATGTATGTGAGTGTGTGTGTGTGTGTGTGCACGCCACAGGCGTCAGCTAATTATATATGGAGGCAGATAGAAATGTCAACAATTTGAATTTAAGATCTATTGGGTGTTTTGTGCTAAACACTCTCCCTCTAGGTCTTGCATTTCGCAAAACAATATTGGCTTTTATCTGACATATTTACAGCAGTGGGATTTATTGAGACATAAAGAATGCATCAGTTAAACCTACTGGGACAGATTGCTTTTCTTTCCTTGAAGACCTAGGCCATCCACATTAGCCTACAAAAGTCTTGATTCAGTGTTTACAATAGCTATCTTTCTATTAGTTTTAGACGGGCCAAATAGATTTTATTTTATGTTATTTGTAAATTCTTGCCCATTTGAGGGGCCTGCGATCATAATTTTCCTAACTCGAGTGACTGTGGCGGTTTCTGGCTGTTGTATCTTGCTTGTATGACATATTGTTGGTTATATCTGTGATTTATTTGCTGCCGAGTCCTTGGTCAGGAACACAACTTCCAATTAGCCAACCAATTATAACGCCGTTCCGTGGGAAACCTTCAGCAGCTGAAGCTGCTGACTAACCATAGGCAACAAGAGCAGCTTCATGTCAGATAAACTAAAACCGAAAATTTTTTTTGGCTGCCCATCTCCAGCATTCACAAGGCAAGGAGGAAGTAACTCCACCCATCGCGGAGTCACACTGTGCAGTTTCCCAGGCTGGAGGGGGTCGTGCTTGTCACTGTCGCTGTCAAGATGGCCCATTGGTAAGAACCATTCTGAACAATTTCCAAATTGAAAATAATTGCTCTGTTACTCCATGATACGGCAGTCTGGGTTCTGAAACACACTCAGGCAATGAAGCATATCCCCCAGAAAAGCTGGCTTCGTCATCCTGCAACGTGGACCTCACTTCAGTTTTCACAGCAGAATGCTACTTCGCTTTCAGTTAACTTGTTCTCCAGCAGTAGCTGAGAATGCTGTGTGGACGCTTGATGCGCTGACCGGGGAGCACACCCTTGATCTGCTCCAGCCCTGCCAGCCCCGACTGCTCTGCTGAACGTCTGAGTCGCTGGGATGAAAGACACACCAAGTCTACCTTTCAAGGACCCGCCACGGAGGATGGGGATGAGGAGATGGAGAATCTTGACCATCTCCCGCTCGGCCTCATGCACACTGGTTTTCTAACACGGAAATGTTAGCGTGGAAAAAAAATGCCCATCTTAGACCTGAGAACATCACACCATCCCTGAATCTCTCTCAGTCCACCCAAAGTAAACAAACTGTCTAAACAAAGTGTCCTTGCTCTGTAAGTGCCACTTAATCATTTCCCTTGTCCCATATTGCAAACAGATTTCTTCTTTTTTTTAATATTCTTTTTCATTTTCTTTTTCAATGTAGGTCGTTACACTAGAGTTCCCTGTGCTGTACAGTAGGCCCTTGCTGTTTATGTATTTTATATACAGTAGTATGTATCTGCAAGATTTCTTCTTTTAGAAAGAAATTCAGGTGCATCTACAGCAAAAATGTCTCGATGAGCTATCCTGCCAAAATAATGCTGCGAGGGGACCTCAAAGCTCAGTGGCTAAAACCACCAGCATTTGCTCTGTCACTCTCAGCTCCGCAGGCTGGCGGCAGCTGATCTGAAATGGGCCCATCCAGGTGCTGTGGGTTGGACTCAGGTCTGTGGCATGTGTGTTCATTCTGGGACCCAGGCTGAAGGCACCACTCTATTTGCAACAGGCTTTTTAAAATTTTTTCCAGCAGATTTCCAAAGCAGAAGAGCCAAGCCCAGATGCACAAGCTCATTTCAAACCTCTTCACGTCCTGTCCACTAACATTCCATTGGCTATAGAAAAACATATGGCCAAGCTGAGCATCAGTGGCTCAGGAAAATAAACTTCACCCACGCAGGAAAGGGAAAGAAAGAAATATTTGCTGAACCATAATTCAAGCTATCACAAAAAAGGCATTTGAAAAAAGAGACTAAAAGAACAGTTAAATAGAGATGGGGCGTTATTTTTTTTAGCTCCTTCTTGAATTAACCTGGGCAACACTGTTTCTTCCATGCATCCAGTTTTTCTTCAGAGATTGTCCCCTCTTGCTCTTTCTGTCCCCTCCATCCTCATCCCAAGAGGCTAGCATGTGACCCAAAGAGCAAGTTGAGGTCCCTTTGTCACAGTGACTAGTGTATCTTAGGACAAGGCTGGTCAGCTGGGACAAGGACTCACTTTTCTTTTTAAGTCACGTGCAAAGCCGTATCTTCTTCTGGATTCTCAAATTTTGTGAGTCAATTAATGTCTAGGCTTGATGGACTTTCTATGTAGGAACTTGACCACAGATAGGATCTTGATTGACACAGAGACCATCACCAGGAGTGCGGTGCAGTAAGTAACAGATCTAAAATATGAAAATGCTAAGCTGAGTAAATAGATTGGAAAGCACTGCGAGCTCCTTATTCACAGCACCGAAGCTGATACGCCAGGTTATTCGGGACACAGCCATCTCTCAGACTGCCACTTCTCAGGCTTTGCACCACATGCCCACAGACGTGGCTGCACTGGGGAAGCTGATAGGAGAAATTCAGTATACTGGAACATATGAACCGCTTTTTGTGGCCTTTTAAAAGGTACAATAAATGTCCCACCAGAATTGGATAAACATACGTTAAAGCTGGTGCACCTGAAATCAAAGAGGAAGGAATGTACAATTTCGATGAAAGATGACCTTCCGCATGAAAGCTGTAGAGTGAGGACATTGACCATTGGGTAGTCTGGGTCTCTGCAGGGTTGGTGAAGTTTATTCTCTCTCCCAATCAACAGCGTGTGCCAACCAAATCAGGAAGGTAGGAACCATGTCGGAAGATGTTACGAGGAAATGAGGCAAATTAATTTTCTGATCATTGCCACGTTCTTTCTGCTCTGTTTCCTCTGTGACAAAGAGGATGGCCACCCATACTGCAAAGGCACAGGTGGCTGCTCCCCATGAGTTCCCATGAGTTCCAGAGGACTTCCCTTGCCTCGACCATTGTGTCAACGAGGCAATGCAAGGATGAAGATCACTAAAGGAAGGATTTCAGGGATGGACAAGGCAACCATCCTATTCCTGAGAAACAGGAATTCTCCAGCAGGATTTTAACTTACACGATCCTGACCCATCAAAATCTCTGACTTTGGATACTAGTCTCTGGAGTTCTAACCTAAAACATTTCTAAAGGAGTAATCAGAATATTTAGTTTCTAAGAAAGCCCTCAGATGTGAGAAATAGCCACCAAAAAATGGGCTAATATGGGGGCATTTTCATCAATGCCTTTCTAGGATACGGCCACAGAGGACAATAGATCGGGAAGATTCTACCAAAAAACTGAAAAGTTGGCCACAAGGGCAAAGGACAGGAGTACAGACAGCCAGACCAGCTGAGCAAGCACTCGTTCTATGTGGGACAGGAAGTCCTTACTGTTCCTGCCCAGCTGCATATACATTCAATCACGCATTCATTCGACAAACACTGGTTACCTACCATGTCCCAGACAATGTTACAGAATTAATCAGTGAACAAAACAGAAGTTTATTATGTGCAATGAAGCAGTGACTACTAATGTTTCCCATCCCATCCTGGTTTTTGTTCTTTTTCCACGATTGTATTGAGGGTGTTGGGTGCCTGGTTGTGAGGACTGCACATCACCCAGTAGCCCTAAACCTGGTGTAGGGTTCAGCCTTCACATAAAATTTTAATTTCTTTTTCTGGGGTTTGAGTGAGTGTGTCAATGTGGACATTAAAGCAAGGAAAAAGCATACATAGTACTAATATTGTACATGAGTGTTAGACAGCTGAGAGGTGTATCCTAGTAGAGGGTTGTTGTTTATATGTTTCCTCTTTTTTTTTTAAGAGCAGACTTCATATTTTGTTTGGGGCCCACTCCTTCCTCTCTCGGTCCACGTTTTCCGGACATGTATCTATTTACAGCCCTAGGAATGGAAGCCGAAGCGAATCACCGCGTTGCGTTCTGCTCACAGTGGTTGACTCAGGGATGGGTATGACCAGAGCAAGTTCCATTAAGGTAAATCCCAGGACTCTGAGAAGGCTGGGAAAGATGCTCACCAGTTCCCACTGGATCTGAACCTCAGATTATGTGGTCTCCTGGGCTTCTGTCAAACACATACTCCACTGATCATGAGTAAGGATGCAAAACAGGCGGAAGCTCCTGGTTCAGGTACAAAAGGAGCCAGAAAAGACGCTAGAAGTTCAGAGACTGAACTTGTTCAGTACTGAGAGCAGCCTCGGAATATCGAACCCAACGATAAAGAAGGTAATTATTCAAACAGTTGTTCAAAGGCCCCACGGAGGACCATCAGGAGCTCCTCCACTATACAGTGTAGGTCTCTCTTCCTTGGAGTTGAGAAGCATTGGCCCCCCAAAGGGAGGACTTTGGACAGAAATGCATGGCTGTCAAAGTCCTGGTAAATTTTCTCTGTATCTTTGACTCCTTTAATCAGTACTCAGTGGCCTTCCAGTAGTCTCTGCAATTTCTATTAATGACCAATCTCCCTTGAAAGGAGTTTCATTATCTGGGTTTTATTACCCGTCTTACCCACTACTGCTGTCTTCCATCGGGGCGGGGGGGGGGGGCTGCTTTTACAATGATACTCCAAATTTACAGGCTCAAAGAACAGAAAATTTGCTTTGCTCTAAAAGTTCAAGGTGAGAGTCCAAGGTTGGTGGGATCCAAGCAGCCACCCAGGTTCCTCTCAGCTTGTGGCCGCACCGTTCCTTGGGGTCTTACCATCATCAGCATGGTGGGGCTGAGCTGCAGCCACGCTAAGGAGACACAAGACACCTGTCCACAGCCTGGAAGGTCCACGGGCAGGAGGGGTGGGCACTTTCCATCGGAGAGAACCCAGTCGGCTGATCATCGCCAGGACAAGTGGGAAAGGGGGCCTAGTCATGAGCCTAGCGGGAAGAGATGAAGTTGGGTGGAAAATAATCGTCTTCACCACATAGCCCCACCCTCCTGAAATCCTTAGTAAGAAAGGGGAAAATATAGAAATGCTATTAGCTTATTTTAGCATCTATGCTTACCTGAGGAGACCCAAATGAGCTCAGAAAGAATTTACTTGTGTTAAAGGCATTCCCTTCTGACAGCCCTTACAGCCACTCTCCAGGGCAAAATGCATAGCACCCACCGACTGAGACCAGGATCCTGGAAGGAGGTGACTGGAACGAAAGGGATGGGGCAAGAATGGAGAGGCGAGAGGACGGACTCCTCGATGCCCATCCTGCCTTCAAAAGTCTTTGTTTAAAATTCGTTTGTAATTTCCATCTCAGTGACTCATTCCTTGGCAATAAAATACTCAACCAGCCATAGTCCCTTACAGTCTAATTTTCAGAAGGCAGGGTAATGCTTTCAATCTCGTACACCATTGTTTGAGGCCCACATGTTATTCTGTCATTGTCAGAAATCTCTGGTGCCTGGGGGATCTGACCAGATGAAAAAGTTCCCCCCAAAACTGATGATGGGCGAGAAGTGACCGTAACCGCTCTGACTGGCTTCACAGGAAGGGAGAGCCGTCCGCTGGACTGTTGAGGTTTTCCAGAGTTTTCTCTCTCTCCTCTCCTCATTCCTGAGTGAGTCACTGGATCACATGCCTTTATCCCCCTCTTAGGTACAGATGACTCACACATTTATTTCTGTAACTACGACCTCTCTTTAAGCTCCATACTTCCATGCCCAGTGTCCACCGGACAGCTCCATCTGGGTGTCCCAACGCTCTCTTCCCACTCAACCTGCCTAATGCTCTCATTTCCCGCAAGACCAGCTTCTGTCTGCTTTCTCTGTGACTTTCTGGTGCCACCAACCACCCAGTCAGTCTGCTCAGACCCCCGGGGGTTACTTGTGGATCCTCCATCTCCTCTGTTTTCTATTTAATCAACTCAAAAAGTCTTATTAATTTGACCTCATAAATAACCCCATCCCTAGGGGATCTTAAACCACTTTTTATTTCCCTCTTAGCCATAAATATTGGAATGACTGATTGACAGGTCTTCCTGACCCAGCGTTCTCAACCACTGGCCTCCCACACTGCCGCCCCAGATTCATTTTCCAGATTGCTGCTAGAAGGTTCTATCTGACCATCTCACCTCCTCATGCAAAATCTTCCAGCGACTCTGTTACCTGGCTTACAAAGTCCAACACTTCCAGAGGGCGTTCAGGCTCTCCACAGTCTGGTTCCCCCGATCCCTTGAATTCATCCTGCGGCTCCTCTACCAGCCCCTCTGCCCCTTCGGTTCCAGCATCATCTCTAATTCCCTGCACACATCTTGCTGCCCAATTGTCTTTGCTCACGCCTCTCTCTTCCCCCATAGTTTTTCTTACGATGTCCCCTCCTTGTCCTGCACAACTTGGCCTCGGAGCCCCTTGTCTGGTGCTTGACTTTGGTCCTCGGCTGCCTTCTCCCACCTCCCCTTCTGGGTTAAAGGTCCTTCTCTGTGATCCCACAATCTCCTAGGCATTCCAGAATTCATCCCCTTATGACCTGGCATGGAAATGACTTATGTGTCTAGCTCACCGCCTGGGCTGTTATTTTTTTCAGGGGAAGGGCCATGTCTTGGTCACTCTGTTTCCTAAGTGCCCAGATCTGGCACACACCCTGCTGTGACAAATATTTCTGTGATTCCGCCTCATCTGTCAGGAAAGCATGCCACGTGCAGGACAAACTGGGACTGTGGATGAAATTAGCAAGAAGGTCACGCGATGCTTGGGGAGTTCAGCATGGGTTGCCTCCTGCCTTCCACCTGCTGATGCTGTGAAAAGGAAAGAAGAGGCTGGAGGGGAGGGTGGGCCTTTTCCTCTCACCCAGCCCAGCTGGCAGCGACTTCCTGTCTGCGGGGATTATGTCAGGTCCCCAGGTCCGGAGGGATCCGGCTGCCACTGGTTGGCCGGTTGGCTGGTTTTGTTTCTTCTGTCTCTTCCACCATTCTTGCCGTGTCTCTGCAAGAAACTCATCAACCCTAGCTGTTAACTGGTAAATCTGTTTGCTCTCAGGATGAATTCTCAGACGGCAGAGAAAGGATTTCCTTTCCACACGTGATCAGAGAGAGAAGGGGAGTGAGAAGATGCGGCCAAGAAGTCAATGACAGATCAGCAGATTTGAGATTTAAATTCTTAATACTTTTGTTTTCTGAAAGCCTTGGAAAGAAATCTAAAGAAAGAAAAGAAACCAAATGCCAAACATGTTCATTCGGATGGTGACTGAACTGCAGTCCTGTTTCTCTGATGAGCACTCCTGCTCTGAGCCCCTCTGAAGAAGGAGCCACGCTGGAGTGACGGCTTGGTGTGGACCCCGGGGCCACTGCTCCTGTGTGTGTGTGTGTGTGTGTGTGTGATTACCAAAAGGGGAAACACTTCAGACTGGAGGGAAAAACCACCTCATAGTAGGCCCCGGGCATTTATTTAGAACATTTAAATCAGACATTACCATCTTTCTCACTCCAGCCTAGAGAAGTTATCTATTTCCATCATATTAATATAAACCATACTAGGGTCAGTTAATCTGCAAATGTAAGGGGGACTCAAGGTAGTCCTATATTAGCTCAGAAATGATAAAAAGAAAAAAGATCTTGTCATCACCTGACCTGTTTCCTCACGGTCATCCTTGTGCTGGGGTTTAGAGGGAGGGGCTCTTTGGGGTGTAAGGTTAGCTTTCCCCTCAATTGGACTGTATGTCTCCCTGGGACCTCTTTTGGACTTAGTGAAATGACTGTCACATACCCCAGAGTTTCTGTAGACTTGAGCAGGGGCAAAGATGTTGTCCCCCCAGGCCGCCTTGGTAGAGGAAGCCCTGATTTCAGGAACTTCTTCAGCCCTTTGTGCCTGCAGAGATCTGGGCACTTCTGAAGAAAATGCCTTGGTTCTCCATCAGGTGGCTCTTGGAACCCGCCTTAGTGTTCGTGCTTCGGGAGTCAGGCCCTGACTCACGGGGCAGGGTTCCTGGTCCGTGCCAAGGAGCCGGAGACAGCAGCCGTGGGCAAAACTGAAATCCCACGTGTGCTTGTAAAGGAGCAACAAAAGTCTGGCTTTCCTCACTAAGTCTCTGAGTCCGCCATGACTGTTTCTTCCCCGGAAGGGACCCGCTGGTATGTTTCACTTCATCCAGAAATAAGCAGGATTCAGGGAAAGATCTGGTGAGCTTTGAATTGATAAATAGAAAAATGCCCTTGACCTTTGCCCCAAGTTGGAGTTAGAACAGTGGGTGGCATTTACCTTGCAGCAAGTGCCACACGTAGCTGACTTTATGGGCCGCTACGCCCCCACCAGTGGTATCTGTGGCTCTCTGGGCGACATGCTGTCTCATCCTGTGTTTGGCAAGCTGTAGTCATACCGTTAGGCTGGTCTGCTTCTGCAAAGAAACCTCATGAGTCTTGGAGGTTCTCATGCACTGTGACATTGTACCAGCAGCTGAATGCCAAACAGAAGACAGTTTTTCTAGTGTCGTTATCTGTTTGTTGGAGTCATGCCGTTCCTTGCATACATGACAGTGTCAACAGGGCCATCTCTTTAAAAGAAGTGCCACCCATGATTGTGTTCCAAGGTGGCTGCAAGACAGATCACTGAAGCAACATTTAATGGGTGACTTTCTTCATCATTCTGTGATTCATGTCACTGACACTGGAATGTAACCAACAAACAGATTTAGTGTCAAATCTGGCACTGACTCTGCTCTCCCAGAAACCTTTGATGCTACGTTGCCCAATTACCAGTGATGACCAGGAGATTCTAAGCCCTTTGTGAGGTGGAAAAAAACAGCTCCCCACAAAAGGACATAGCACCTCATCTGTACTCTGTGCTTCAAAGGTTGTTCCTTGTAGTGGTCTTGGCTCTTTCTTTCTTTTTTTTTTTAACATTTTTTTTATTGAGTTATAGTCAGTTTACAGTGTTGTGTCAATTTCCAGTGTAGAGCACAATTTTTCAGTTATTTGGGAATACACATATATTCATTGTCACATTCTTTTCCGCTGTGAGCTATTGGCTCTTTCTTTTGAAGCTGGGACTTGAAGTACATAGATTTTGTATTCATTTTTGGTTTTTTATTCTCACACAAGTTTATTCTTGTAGCAGTCACTGCACATAATGGCATCAGTATTTGCAAGGGGAGCCCCATTAGTGCCATTAGAAGGATGCTCCACTTTGCTTCCAGGTTCAGACAATACTGTCTGAAACCAGAGAAGGTCTTGCACGATACCCAAGCGTTGCAGATACTGTAAATGCTTTCGAATGCCCCATGAATCTAAAAGACATTGGTAACTCAGAAGGCTGAACTTCAGTGGCATTAAAAATAGATTTTTAAAGAGAAACGTTACACATACATGGCGCATCAACTTGGAGACGTTTGGAGTTTCCATTTGTTGTTCTTCCAATCTTTCTCATGCCTGTAGATGAGATAACTTGAATACAATTTTCAGGATTACATTTCACTAAAAAGTATCCTAGCATAGCAGAACATTGCTGCTCTCCCAGAACTTTAATGCATCAGTTCACAAACATGTATTTGTGTTTCGTGAGTGTTCAACAGCAGTCATACTCTTTCATCACTGGTGACAGGACAAGTCATCTGAGTTGGCAGATCTGAAGAGTATGAGCTTAACCCTAAGGATTTCTGAAGTTGAATGTTTATTCTTGGAGGACTGGGCTGCTTTCTTAAGAAGGGCAAAATACCGCATACACACAGATGATAGGAAATAACGCGATCGTGTTTACTGTAACTTGATGCAAATTCTTACCACATCCTCTGTATCCGGTCACTTTAAATTACATAGTAAATTCAAAATACTTAGAAATAGTTGAAGAATCTTGAATGGCTTCAGACTCGAATAAAATTTATCAGGTCCAAGTTAACTGTCCTTTGAAGGCTCAACTTCTTGTCCACACGTTGGTGCTCTCCAAGTGAAGACTCTGGAGGCACATGGGTTCACCCCAGCACCCCTCCCTGCCTTCTAAAGACGATGAAAAAGTGTGACCGAGGACTTCTTCACCGAGGACCCCATGATGCCTTCAGGACCCTGTCATCTGTTTCTTGCTTTTCTTCTGTTATCACTCGTCCACTCCCTGGCCTTGGCTTCTGCTGGGATGGACTTCATCTCCCACATTTTACTGCTGAAGAGGCAGGGGAGAGCTCTGAAAAGCCCAGATCTTCTATATTTGCTTCAAATGGCATCAGAGTCTAACACAGACCAGAGGTAGGGTGCTTGCTGTCCTCTTCCCTCAAGTGGACACTTGGTGTCTCCAGATCTTTCAAATTAAGTGATGTCCAGTTCAGTAGACTCCCCCACCCTGAGAATTCCCAGCTCCTATCATGTGGATTCCTTCAAAGATGCCACACACACACACACACACACGAGAACAACCATAACAGTAAGCTCAAGAAAACGGTGAGTTTTGCCTGGGAAGGCAGCACGCCTGCATTGCTGGTGAGGAGTTCTAAGCTGAACAGTCCATCATCAGTGTCATGAAAACAGTATGCTCTTCAATGGGAAATAGGTGGGTGAACTGGCCCTTCCTGGGCTGATCACACAATGGCCCCAGGCTGACTTTTGATAAGGAACATGGCAGAGTTCAATGCGCTTGTTAAAGAGAAACGTCACACATCAGCTCCTGGAAACTTTTCTACCCAAACCGACCTTGGCCTGTTTATTTTCAAATCTATGTATCGCTCTTTTAGGCAGGTTTCCAGGAGGATCATCTGGATATGAGTGTATTTCCAGCTCCCACCCTTATAATAATGGCCAAGAAGAAACTGGCCAAACCAAAAGGATTGTACTTGCAGCATCAACAGCCCCTTTGCTGGACGTTTCACACGGACAAAGAAACGCTATTGTGCATCCCCAGCCTGTGCTTTCCTAAGTTCCTAATTCTAAGTGATACCATTTCAAATTTCATCTAATTCTTAATCATTTGAATTACTCGCACATGTACATATTATGCTTATTTTATTTTCAATTATTTTGGTTCGTGTACCCAGAAATAACCGATTTTTTTTTAACAGATATAAATATATCACTGGCTGCCCAAGTGTAAGCTGTTACCAAGCTCCTCAGCCCACCGGGCAGGAATGTGTCCCATCCCAAGTCAGCTTCCTAATGAGACAGAGGTGTTCTTCACTGATTTTTTACTTTTCCTAATGCAACCATTGCATTACTCTACTTCAATATTAGACTCCAGTTAGATAGATTTTTGACATCAATTTCTTGTTTCCCTCCACTTTTAGGAATGAAAATAATTGTCTCTGGAAACCTGAACAGCTTTCGTTACTTACCTGGAGCCAATCTGTACTGGAAAAAAATGCTTTTGGGTTGCTCTCCTTAAGGAGGGCTGTGTTCAATTAAATGGAACACCCCTTTCCAAATTTATTTGCATTCACAATTTAATAATGTTGAATGTCACTCTGTGGGACAAGGACAGGGGACTCGTACTTGCTTATATCAATACCCTAAGGTAGCTCGTTCTAGTCGTGCGCAGCCATCAGTGCGCCCCTGTCCCCTCCATTCTCTCTGGCAGGGCGTATGCGTCCAGATGATCGAGGAGCAGGTCCAAAGCACTGAGGCAGAAGTTAAAAAAGTGTGTGGTCAAACCCAACAACGTTTTATGCTGTTCAGTGTTTTGATCCACTACAAAGCGATGTCAAATGCAGGGCTAGATCGCACTGACATGAGACTGACTGATTCACTTACTGACTGTCCTGATGAGGGCCAGCATCAGGAGAGTTCCCGGGCTTGTGAAGAGCACCTGATTTTCCTTCATCTCGAAGTGGTGTCTCCCAGCCCGCTAAGCGACAAATCGAAAAAGCGGTGTTAGGAACCCTCAGAAAGGTGTCATATGCTATGTAGTATATCCTCATTGTCGTGAAGCTATTAAAATGTCTTATTAACCTTCTTTCAAGAGGCACCTCCTTATTCACTTCCTATTGGTGAATCATTCATAAATTGATAAAGATTTGTCTCACTATGTTTGAATAAACATGGATCTTGCTTACCTAGTTCTTGGCTGGGAAGGTTTTTGGGGCTAGAAAGCAAGCCCCATTTAGGTCAAAAGGACAGTATGTAAAGGGAAGCAGAAAGGAACCTGCTATTATACACATTTAATTTTAAACACTGTATTGCATCCGAAAATCAGGAGTGTATCCAGTCGTTGTGGCGACGTCAGGGTTGACTGTGCTGATCAGTAAGAACATAGCTCTGAGACCAGATTCTGGAGAGGGGTTCAGGAAAGCACAGTCAAGGCAAGTGCCTCAAATGTCATAGGCACCTGGCTTCCTCTGGTGGGACCCAGTCGCACCACATGACAAAGCTCACATTGTGAGACCGCATCAATGGTATGCAGGCTCAGTGAGGACACTTTGGCCCCTAGAGCTGTCCCATCTCAATCTATGTAACTCCACGGGAGTGACCCCGACTTCCCAGGCCCCAAGAATGTGCTCCTTGTTTGCAGAAGGGGCATACTCAATTCGAAGTAACTTCTGATGAGAAGCTGTGTCTGTATTTACCCGTAGGGAGGTGGGAGAGCCTTAGACAAGGAGTGGAACAGCCCCGCAGGCTGTGGTTGAGTTTCTCTGCTCTAGATAATGGACCTGCTTGCAACTACCTCCTCATACTACTGGCCTTCCCTCCCACCCCACCAAAAAGGCAATAGCCACCGCCTGTGATCTGGTCTCAACAAGTGTGTCTACAGGTAGGCAGTTCATTCTTGCCTCCCTCGAGCTGGACTGGCAGCAAGCTTCACTCTTGGACTTTACATTTGCCTAAATCAGGTTGTGTTTTAATGCTACGCTCTTGCTTTTTTTTTTTTTTTTTTTTTTAAGATTTGGGGGGGTGGATTAGATTTGTTTCTTTATTTATTTTAATGGAGGTACTGGGGACTGAACCCAGGACCTCAGGCATGCTGAGCACGCGCTCTGCTACCGAGCTCTACCCTCCCCGCGCCATGCCCTGATTTTTAAGAGGGACTCTGCGTGGCGTCCTCGCCTGCAGAATGCAGGTTGAGAACACCGATGACATTATTCAGTGTTTCCCAGATGAGGCCGCAGCAGTACAGTTTCCTTGAGAAATTAATACCCCAAAAATACATTTCCTCCCCTGAGGAACTAGTTTCTTCATATCTAATAATAAGTTTATTTTTTTTTTTTTTTTTTGGCTCCCAGGAGACTTAGAGCCAGACTTACCTGTGTTTGTAACCATGTGAGCCCATGTGGCCTGCGTATTTGCATTCTTTTATCATCATTCCTTCTTTTCTTTCTCTTTTTCCTTTCTTCATGAATTCGTTGTTTCAGTCTTACCCTGGTCAATTACTCTGAGAAAAGAGGCAGAGATACATAATAATGATTAAAAAGTAGAACCATGTTTGGTAATTTTCAAAGTAAAGGTTGCTTCACTTCAGCATGATAATTGGCCAACTTCTAATGACAAATCTGTGACTCTTATTTAATTGGGCTGCATGTGGCGTTTCTTTCAAAGTAGTATGTATTCGCATTAAAACACTTAAGTTTCAGGAATTTGTCAATTCTACTTCTGCAAGACAAATCAGACGTTTTTGAAAAAACAGATATAGAATCAATCTATTCAGCTACTACCAGAGATTGAATCCTCGTTTTAATACAAAAAAAAGAAAAATAAAAGTTATTTTTAAAGTTATTTACAGTAGCTCAGCCTTACTAATTTGCTGATGCCATGACCGAAAAAAGACAGTTGACTGAAATCAAAAATAATTGTAAGAATTATGTATGGTAATGACCTCATTTCAAATAGCACAAAACAGAGTTTCCTTCCACCGTTTCTCCCTCTTTCCTTTTCTTTCCTTTCCCTTCCTTTTCCATCACCCTCTTATTCAGAAACTTCTCTTTCTTTTCTGTCAGAGAATAGAGATCAGGGTCTCCATTTGCATAGAACTGGGCAATATTAGAAAGACAGAGGTTTATCGTGTGCATTTTAATTTTGAAGCATCTTAAGGGCAAATAGGACCCTTCTTTTTGATGGAGCTTCTACAGGTGGGTAATGTTTGGGAGGCAGGTTTCCGGGAGAAGGAAAGCAAGACACAAGGACTCTGAAGGGAGACCAGGAGAGAGAGGAGTTCAGAGGAGGAATCTGCATTGATGGAAAAATTGAAAACAAACTAATAAACAAGCAACACTGTTTTGCATCATACTCTGGACATCCATTCATGATCATAGGATCGTAATATTTTCTTACTGGTAATGGATTGTCCGCTTTTGCCGCTTCAGAAGTTAAAGACTTTATTAAAGAGTGGTTAAAACCTTGACTTAACCATAGAGCAACAGACTGTCACGTTGGAAAGAGATCCATGGTTTGGTTGAAAGAGCTTCTGAAAAACAATGGAGAGAAAACATGTGAAATTGTTTCAGAAGCTGTTTCAACCAATCCAGGATGTTTAATTGAACTCTTATCTGTTATCCAGAGAGATGTACTTCTGGAGACCCATCAGACCTCGTGGTTCTTTTGGAAAGTTCAGTGCTTACCATCACATGACCCTGGACATGACCGAGCACATCCTTCTCCAAGCTCAGTGTCTATAAAGCACAGCTTAGTGAGTTACTCAGACAGGCTCTGTATTGACCAAATGGGCTGAGGACGGACACACCCTGGGCCTTCTCTCCTGTTTCTGCCGAGTCCTGTGCTCGGTCTCCTGCAGCTTCTGCTGCTTCTGCACCGGTCAGAGCTCAGCCTCTTTGGTTGGGGAAAGGGGCTGCCAGGCTGCCAGAGGCGGGGATGTTATCCTGTCACAGCTGGAAAAGAACAAGTTGAGATTGGATCAGGAAGTGTTGTTGTAAGTCACCAAGCTGACGTGTAAGTAATGAGAGAATCACAGAATCTCCACTGAATGGCGAAGACAAGCACAGGAGCCCTCAGCGCAGAGTGCATCGCATAGGAAACTGATAACCAGATCCTCCCACACCCAAGCAATTAAAATAAAGTAACCTCCTCCCCATTTCCCGGCATCACGCACGTCCACCCTCAATCAAAATGAACTTGACATTGTATAAATTCCAGCAATGCATCTTTGACTGTCCTTTCCCAGATGACGGGAATTTCTGGAAATAAAACACAGTGATTTCTCACATAGAAATGTGTTAAATAATCACAAAAAGCCATCCCCCCACTGTTCCTCCCTAATATGGAAACTAAGACTGAAATCAAATGAAGGAAAAATGTATAAGATGCCCATTTCTATCCTGTAGAACATAATTTTACTAATTTCAATAGGTTTCCATGTAATCCACCCATTTTTTTCTTCTTTCATTAACCTAAGGAAATTTCCAAGTGAAACACATGTTCATTTTATGAACAATGGACCTGATAAGGGTTGGAACAAATTCTTCTTTTTGTCTGTAACTTTAAATGTTCTTTACATACTTTTGTGAAATTAGAATGAATGAAATAAGGTGAGATGATCTAGATAGCAGTGAAATATTTATGAAATAAACCTTTTCACAACAGATCATTTACAGCACTCATAGACTGGGTCACAAACTGAACCATGCTCTTCTTCTGCCCGTAACTTCGAATTGGGAGACCAAGCAAGTAAAGTGAGGATTTATTATTATGGCATGCTCTCAAGGGGAGAGGAGGCAGACTCAGGTGAGTAGCTAGCCCTGAGTTTCTTTGGCAAGCTGATTATCTGGGGTGTAGAAATAAATGGGTGCACTTACATGTGGAATCTAAAACAATGGCACAAACAAACTCATTTACAAATGAGAAACAGACTCACAGCCATAGAAAACAAACTTACGGTTACCAAAGGGGAAGGGGTGGGGAGGGATAAATTAGGAGTTTAGGATTAGCAGGTGCAAAATACTATGTAACAAAATAGATAAATAATAAGGGTCTACTGTATAGCACAGGGAACTATATTCAATAGCTGTAATAACCTATAATAAAAAAATGTATAACTGAATCACTATGCTGTACACTAGAGACAAACACAACACGGTAAATCAACTATACTTCAGTTTAAAAAAAAAGAAATGAATGGGCTGAATATTCACTAGGGAGGGAGGGATTTGGGATTGAGTTTAAAGCCCTCCTCGTGAGACCGTGTGGTGGCCTGTGTGCAGCGCTGTGCATCCTGGGCAACTCCCGGAGGCCAGTGCCACCCAGCATCCCAGCTCCGGCTCTCAGCGGCTGGGAGGCCGGCACAGGGCAACACTGCGGTCAGGATGGCTGGCCCTGCTCCTGACTTAGGAGAGAGCTCTGTGAACTCCACTGCTGCTAGCTGTTACAGAGCCTTTCTTGGTAAGACGCCTCCTGCTAGAAATGGCTTATCAAGTCCCATCAAGTCACAGGATATGTCTTGATGTTTTAAAACCATTTGGGAAGCACTATATTATGTTATGCTCGGCTTAAGATAAGGGATCATCCTGCAGAAATACAGAAATATTTCAAACTTACAGGTGGCCCATCTTTCAGAGTCCAATCCCAAGTGGTACATTTTAAGTGGAATCTAAAAACCTGCTGTCCAGCTTCAGGCCCACATCCTATTGGACCCGTAATCCTGTCTAAAGGCTTTTGTTTGTTTTATTTCCTACAGCTGCTTTGATTTGCTTGAGTTCACATTTGTTTCTGTCCTTGAATGTTTTCATTAATAAATTATAAGGAAGGTTTAAAGTATCCTAGTATGTGCAGTTTCTAAGATCGTTTTACAAAGCATCACATGCTGTTACGGTCTGAGTTTTTCCCATTGGCTTTTGTCCCAGGGATGCCGACACTTCCTCCAATAGCAGCAGAGGGCGGCTTCCCGGTGTCAGACAGAAACAGCTATTTCCAAAGCAGCATCCTTGGCAGGTAAAAATCACCCAGTGTGTTCCTTTCTGGGCCGCAAAATATTGATGGCAACACATTCAGTGTCCATCAGGTGGGGTTCTTAACTTGGAATGTTTCAGAATTAGGATTTGATGAGTATGCGTGAACTCAGGCTCTGAAGTTTTAACTGCATTTTTTTTAATCCATAGATACTCCCTTTTGTGCCCAGTGTAGACCAGATGTTGATAATATAAATATATAAACATAAATAAGATATGGTTTCTGCCCTCAAAGAGCTCATAAGCCAATTGGAGAGAAAGATGGGACACAGATAAAAGCACAGGATGGTAAGTGTTTCGATGAATTTGCATATGATCTCACTGGGACTTGCATCCCAGAGGAGCTGAGTCTTGAAATAAGCATTTGCCTGATGGGTGGGGTGGGGCATTCCATAAAAAAGGGACAAGAAAGCCAAAGGAATGAAGCTGCAGAGCTGGGCGAGGGGGACCAGAACCAAGAGGTGTGGTGAGGAGCAGGGGTGGATTACAGGGGACTGTTCTGCCAGTATTTAGGAGGCTCTGAAGCATTTGAAGCAAAAGAGTGACATGCTCTGATTTGTGGGGTTTATTTTAGAAAATTAACGTGGCAGCGGAGTCATAGATGGGCTAGAGAGTTGTGGGATGGAGACAGAGGCCTGTTCAAAGATGACTGCACTCTCCAGGACAATGATGGGGACGGGCTAGATCCCGCCAGAGCAGCGAGATGAGCTGGGAGGGAGGGACCTCAGAGCTTTAAAAGGATCCCTGTAGACATGAGTCAGTGGGACTGAGGGCTGCCTCCCAGACTTTATGGATGAATTACGGTATAACTCGTAAAGGTGGCAGATTGTCTTTTTTTCTTTCAGCTTCATTGAGGTATAATTGACCTGTAAAATTCTAAGATATTTGAAGTGTACATCGTGGTGATTTGATACATGTATACATTGCGCAAGGATCTCCCCACCCCATCTAGTTAATTAACACATCCATCACCTCACATATTATCATTTTTTTTGTATGAGAACATTAAAGTTTTATTCTCTTAGCAAATTTCAGTTATTCAACAGAGTGCCATCAGTTACAGTCACCATGTTTTACATGAGATCCTCGGACCTCATTCATCTTACAGCTGAAAGTTTGCACCCTTTGAGCAAGCTTGCCCTACTTCCTCCAACTCCCAGCCCCAGCAGCCACAGCCACTTTCCTACCCTCTGCTTTTATGAGTTTGACTTTTTAAAAAAAAAATAATCCACATATAAGTGACACCATACCTTTCTGACTCGATTATTTCACTTGGCATAATGCCCTCAAGTTCCATCCATGGTGTTGCCAATGGCAGGATTTCCTTCCTTCTCGTGGCAGAATAATATTCCATTGTATATGGTACATATGCCACATCTTTATCCATCCATCCATTGATGGACACTGGTTGTTTCCACTTCTTAGCTGCCAATAAACATCAAAGCTTCCTCACAGCAAAGGAAACCATCAACAAAATGAAAAGGCAATCAACTGAATGGGAGAAGCTATTTGCTTATATCTGATAAGGGGTTAATATCCAAAATACGTAAAGAACTCATCCAACTCAATAGCAAAAACAAACAAGCAAGACCCAAACAATCTGATTTTAAAATGAGCAGCAGAATTGAATAGATCTTTTTCTCTAAAGAAGACAATACAGATGGCCAGCAGGCTTATGGAAAGGTGCTCAACATCACTAATCTCCAGGCAACTGCATCTCAAACCCCTAAGGAGATGTCGCCTCATGCCTGTTAGAATGGCTATCATCAAAGAGACAAAAGGTGTTTAGGCAAGGATGAGGGAAAAAAGGAAACCCTTGTGCACTCTTGGTGCTACTGTGAATTAGTGCAACCACCATGGACAACTGAATGGAGGTTCCTCAAAAAGTTAGAAATAGATCTACCATATGATCTGACTATTTCACTTCTGGGTCTATATCCAAGAGAAATGACAACCAGAAATTGAAGAGATGTCTGCACTCCCATATCATTGCAGAATTATCCACAAAATAACTAGTCACAATAGTTAAGACCGATTGTCTTAATGTCCATTTAAACACTGGGCATATTCAGCATCTCAGATCCTAAAAAGTAGGTTCTGATACTCATCTTCAGGTGTTATAAGAAGATCGTGTCTGATAAAGGACTTTCCCATGATTTCTTCACTTTTAGGATCTGTGGGTCATCAGCTGTACCACACAAAGAGCTGTGTCAGAGGTCTCAACTTCTACCTGCATTTCGCTTCTGTATTTGCATATCACATACAAAGTACAAGTATTTTGTCACATTCCTTTTTCTCTCGCAGCTGTCCTTTTTCAATGAATATTGTTATTTTGTTATTCATGCTCACTGTAGGAAGGAGAGCACCACACCACTGAAACTGCAAATAAATAAAACTCATTCCTCAGTTTACCCCCTAGAGAAAGCTCCTGTAGACTTTTTTTGGGGGGTATAGAACCGTCTAGAAATGTGCACACACCTTTATATGAAGGTAAGTCTTCTATACACATTTCTTTGTTAGCTGCTGTTTTCACTCAAAAATATATTGTTACATGATCTCCATGTCAATCAATATGCATTCTGAAGTCATTTTAAATGCCTGCATCATACTTTGGGTATGTATGCACCATAATTGATCTAGTCAGTCTCTCCTTGGAAACCATTTAGTCTCATTGTTTTGACTAAACAATGCTGTCTTAAGAATCAGAATTGGAATTTGATTGTCCCTGCTTACCAGCTCAGAAGTAAGCCTGGTGCTGTGTTGTAGATGCTGGCAGAAGACACGAGACTCCTGGATCAGAGACAAGGGACTTTGCCTGCAGCATAGCAGGCAGTATGAGCAGCAACATGGCGTTGGTTGCACTGGCCCTTAAACCCCACAGCAGCGATTCCGTGGGCCCAGATGGATGCTGTGCATACGGAGGGTTGGCATGGCTGCTGCGGGATATCCAGTGTAAGGAATCTACTTCTGCTGTGTGAGCAGTAAGCCAGCCCGCCCTTCCCCCCAGGAAGAGACATCACCACATGCTTCAAGCTCACTTGCTTTAAGCACAAGTCTGAGAAATGGCCCAGGTAAAGAGTGGTAAGGATGCTGCGTTCCTGGCAGACCCGGCAAGGAGTGTAGGAACACAGGGGAACCATGAAGGACTATCTCTAAACAATAAGCATCCTTTTCTAAAACCTTTAAATACCTTCAGGGCAAATTCAAAGGAATGAAATGAGTCAACCAAAGAGTTTGCCTTCCTGTAGACTTTCTGTACCTGTTACCAAATGACCTTCTAGAATCCCCACTCTTGCAGGTTTGCTTTCTCAAGTGTCTGTAAAATGACTCTTGCTGTTCCTTTGCTGGCCCAGGAATGACTTCTGTCTTCCGAGCACTCAGGCCCATGTTGGTGTTCTCTGCTTTTCCAGATATCTGTCTCATATGTATTAACAGGGAGGATATTTCAGCAGAGCCATTTCCTGGTTGGTGTCAAGCTGAAAATGGATTGCTTGCCCCAGGTTGGTGGGAACAGGAATGCTAAGAAAAGCAACAATCGCAGCTCTCCCCGCCTGCGGGTCCAGTCTCTTCCTACTCAGGAGGCCCAGGCCCCTGTTTTCTCATTTGATCTACCACCACAGACAGGTGGTATGTCGTGTCTGTGTGCTTGTAGGTGAATTTTAATGACATTTCAAGGCATCCCGAAAAACAAAATAATTCTTTGGATTGCTTTTGTCAAATAATAAAATTATTTGACATAAGTCTCATTGAAAACAGATGTGGAAGTATGCAAGTCTTACTTTTTTACCGTCCTTCCCTGGGGGGCTCTTGGTTTATGCCAATCTGAATTTTGATGTTGAAAGTCTCAGTGTCTCTCTCTTTTCCACGTGTATTATCTTTAATATGTAGGAAAACTTTGGGAGAGGACCCTTGAGCAGTAGCTAATGCTGTTAAGAGCAAGACTGAACCATCAGAGAATTAAATAAAGAGGAAAGGTTTGTCCTTGGACCAAGGCCTCCCCTGGGCTAGGATTCCGGTGCATGCGTCCTGGTAGTGGCTGGAGCCAGTGGTTTGAAAGCCTGAGAGACTCTGTTTTTAATCACAGACTCTGCCTGTGACTTTGGTGTATTCACTTCTTTTTGGTTTCCCCTTCTGTTAAATGAGAATGCAAATCTCTGACCTCAATTAGAGAGCCACCTGAAAAGCCTTTGCTTTTATTTAGGTGTGTGAGACCCAAGTATAGACCCCCAGGCACTTTGTATCTCACGGGAGCCCCCTCTCCTGTGTCCCACAGCAGTGGCTCTCCATGGCTTGTCATGCACATCCTGGCACTGGAAACACATCATTTGAAATGCATATTGGCGGGTGTGGTATCTCCTTGGTGTGAATAAGCTAAGTTCTGCAGAGGGAGGCCCTGAGTATTCTGCCCTCCAGGTGGCTTATTTTTTGTCCCCATATCAGGGAAGCACACCATTTGCTACTGGAATGTTTGAAGGAAATGACCATAGTGCCTGAAGAACCACCTTCAAAGAAAAGTGGCTCTAATTCTCTTCCTGGTCTTGTGGTAATGTTATCAAAGAGTGCTCTCCAGGCAGGGAAGATCAGTCACTGTTATGGCTGAATGTCTTTGTCCCTCACTCAAATACTCTTACGTTGAAGCCCTAAACGCCAATGCAACTGTATTTGGAGATAGGGCCTGAGAGGAGCTGATAAAGGTTATATGAGGTCATAGGGGTGGGGCCCTAATCGGACAGTGTTGGTGCCTTTATAGAAAGCGGAAGAGACACCAGAGCTTTATCTCTCCACCATGTGAGGCTGCAGCAAAAAGGCAGCTGTCTGCAAGTGAGAAAGAGAGTTCTCACCAGGAGCCCACCCTGCCAGGCCTTGATCTGGGACTTCTGGTGCTCAGAACTGTGAGAAAAGACATTTCTGTTGTTGAAGACCACAGGCTGTGGCATTTTGTCATGGCAGCCTGAGCAGATGGACAAAGTCATGTAAACGCTCCAGAAAGAGCCACTATGATGGGGCAGGAGGGAATCCAGTCACCTTTGAGATGACATGTCAAAGTGTCCAAGGGTGGCATGTCACCCTTACTGGGTCTCAGACCAGTCCTCTCAGATCTCTTCATGGGAAAACACAAATGTGAGGTGAACCCCCCAAAAGCTGATTATGTGGGCTCTTAGCTATGCTGAGCTATTTTTTTCCATTTTTCTGTGAAATTTATGCAGATCCCAAGTATGCAGATGCTCATCAAAATTTAATAAGAAGTACTTGCTGAATCATCTGCCTTGCAATCTCTAGATTAAAGTTTTCTGAAAGCAGATAAATCATATTTACTATGGAACCCACGCACCTGGCATTACTATTTGTGGTCAATAAATATTAGTCGCAAGATGAATAAATCAACGTATGAACGAATGAGTAGTAAATGAAGTCTCGACTGACTATAGTGTCTGGTCAGTTTCCCAGGTCATTCCACATTTCTTCTATCTTCACAATAACCTTCTTTACCCAGTTTTCTACAGATCTCCTTTCAAGCAACCTAAAGAAGCCTGAAGAGATCTTCACTGAGTTCCCGTCTGTAAAGGAATAAAAATTCAGAAGCAGGCATCTCAGGGACCATCCTTCTTGAATATATAGTGTGTTCCTCTGGCTCCCTAGATGTGCGTGGCTTCTGTGGGCCCCATGCCACAGCTGAGATGTTCAAATCATTTGAGTCGGTTTCATATGCTTGAAAGGAGAGCAAGATTCTGTTACTTCTACGCTCAAGAAGCTGCTGCTTCTGTTCACAAATATCAGAACAACCCAACGCACAGGGTAGTAAACCAGTCGTATTCTCCTGTCTATGTATGTTACAGAGTCTAAGGTAGGCGGTCCAGGGCTGATACACGGATTCAATGATCTTTCAGCTCTGTAGCTTTTTTTTTTTTAATGTTTTTCAGGTGGCTTCTGCCCGTCCAGGCATAACATCTGCTTTCCAGTCAGCCAGAAATGGGAGAGGCACATCTTGCCTTTTTATTTTGGAACCCAGAATCCAGCCCAGAGAGTGATGCCTACGTCTTTTCAGCCAGAACTGCATTGTACAGCTACTCTTAGATGCAAGGATAAGAGGAAGGTAAGGATGAAGTTGGCTGAGCGTGTGTGTGGCATGAATCAACGTCCCCTCTCTTTCACACTATCTCAAGGGAGAAGAGGAAGATTTTGGAGAATCCCAAACAGGACTTGGAGATGGGGAAGTAAGAGTGGCTTCTGAGCGTTTAGCAGTAAGAGATTGATGGGCATTTCTTTTCCAGCCTTCAGTAAACTTCATGGAGACTCAAGGCTGTGTCACCTTGTTCCAATCCAAAAAGTCATCCCAGGATGCAGTGTTCCTCCTTATGTGAACCAGCCATGATTAGGGGGACTTCTGCTGAGGGTCAAGGCTGGATCGTTCATTGGTGAGGTGCCACCCAACATACTGATGGCTACTCTCAGAGGAAGGAGAGTCATTTTGAGCCAGGGAGCCTTGAGGTGGGTCCACCTAACCTTGAGTGGGTACACAGGAATGGAAAGCAATTCCCAAGATTGCCTCCTGATGTCCTCAGCATGCTCCTGAGGTGGTTTTAGGGACCCTGGAGAACAGAGGTCTGTCTTTGCATCCAAAAGCAAGCCTGAATCCCAGCTCTGGCCCATGACTTCGGGCAAATTGTTCCTTAAGCCTCCATTATCTCATCTGTGAAGTAAGACTAGAAATAGCCAAGGATTAAATGAGAAAATGGAATAAGCACACTCTGACAGGCCTAAAGCTTGGTACAGAGAAAGTGTGTTACGATTTTTAGAACAGTGCCAAGCTGGGACTATTTTTGCTGGTCATTGATATGCTTCATGTAACTGAATCTGATCTCACGGACATATGTCATTAATATTTACCCCCAAAATCTTCTTTCCCATATCCTATCTTTGGTTTTTCCAGGCCTTCTGTCACTTCTCACCAGCCATGTCCTCTTTCACGAGTGGCTGGGGAGAGAGTTGTATGTGTACAGAGCACATGTCTTCCAGAACCAAGAGCTGTGTCTCATAATCCCATTTGCAGTGTATGCAAGTTGAGAAGGGAAAACCTGACATCCCCCTGCTCACTGGAGCTCACACAGAACCCAAAGAGTTAAGGTAGCATTCCAACGAGCTGCATGCGAGAGTCTCTAACAGGCTGTCCAGGGAGAGTCACTTGACCACGCTACGTTCAATGAGGTAATGGTCCCACATGCATCCTCTTCTCTTGGGAGAAGGTGTGTGAGATGTAAATAAATGATCAGGTTACAGAATTAACTCTGAATGACCAATTTTGGTTCAAGTAAAGGTCTTCTCCTACCTCACAGATCCCTGGCGATAAATCTTTCAGCAACAGGTTGATCCCTCTCTGAAACAGACTGTCTAGCAATGTTTCCACCTTCGGCACTTGTCGGGACGGAGTGAGTGCGAGGCGGGGGCCCGGCCACACATGCAACCAACCGCAGACTAACACCTTGAAGGGCTTCCTCTTTCAAGGGCCGACTGGCAATACTCTGGCTACTGCTGGGAGGGAGAGAAAAGGGAACAGTTTGCAAAGCCAATAGTAACAGCAAACACAATAGACCATCTGCGAAAGGGAGTTGCTGATCTGACTTCCAGAGGCTGAAGCAACAAGGTGAAAGGGACAGGACCCAGGACCCAGCTCCATGTCACTTCCGATGCCTCGCTCCTCTCAGTCTTCCCTTGGGGGTAGGTTATTTAAAGTCTGTCATGAGTCTTTGCAAATTCACAATGCAACGAGCATGTGCTGATTATAACCAGGTCTAGCGTGTCCCTGGGAAAAGGAGTACGAAGGAAGGAGGGCTTCAGCGTTGCTCCGGGGATTCTTCGGTGACACGGGGCATGCGGGCTGATCCTTAGCCCCCAGGTGTGCCCCTCCACCTAGCACCCGGATGCACGCTGTGGCTCTGATGGGCAGCAACACCTTTCTCTCTGTGGCCCCTGGGCTCCCGGGCCTCAGAGTCTAGGTGGGTGACAGGCGAGGTAATCTCACGATGCGCAAGTGCAGAGGAAGTTATGGCTGCAGAGCTGAGAGAAGCAGGAAGTGAGACTTGGATTGGGGGGTTTGTAGCAAGACCAGGAGGATGAGGCTAAGCCAAGGACAAGAGGATGAACAGTCCAGTCTGAAACAAAACCTTGCACCTGTCAAGGCTGTGGGGCAGGAAAGGACAGACACGCTCCAGGAACCAAGGGGAAAAAGCTAGAAAAGGAGAGAAGGCGTGAAATGAGGGTATTGAAATGTGCACGAGACAGACACTGCAGGCCAAGTGGAGGCTCTCCAACCATATTCTTCCTGTGTGGGGAAGACTGAACGGCTGGAAGCATTTTGGTTTGGGATATATGAAGATGGCGTGACCGACAGCTCTCATTGCTGGCCGTCATGTCATCTGTCTTGCATAGTCAGTGCTGACCGTCCCTGATGGGGGTTGGGTGTAAGGGTGGATGGCTCCATACATCCAGGGCCCCTTGTCCCCCATGCCTTCTCCCTAACGGTCCTCCACCTGTGTCTCCACAAAATATTAAACTTCTTGTCTGCAAGCTCGAAGACATCCAAAAGTCGCTGGGACCCAATCCATTGGGGCCCTTTTATCCTCTTGAGAAGCGTGGCTCCTGTCACGCTACCTTACAGCCACACACCAACTCTTCCCCTAGATTCGAACCTGGACCCCGAATACCTGTGAACCTGATATGTTGGACTCATTAATCTAAAGACCAGGAATGTTGTACCAAAATGCTTTACCTTTACATAGTTACTAAAAACGTATTTGTGTTTTCTCCAAGTGCGGCGCACTCACCAGACCACAGAAGGTCAGCGCATGACGGCCTGATGAGCGGCTTGGAGCCTACATCACCCTGGGCCTCCTGGAGACGCTGCAGCCGTGCAGGCCCCTCGGTGACCAGGCTGCATCTGGTGAAACTTCATTTCAGCACAGGTGTTGGTGACATGGTCAAGTCGTGTAGACATGAGAGATTCAGTTGCTCCTTCCCTTGGTGGCCTGTCTATACAGCTCCATGGGGGAAGAGGTGGGGCCGTTTCTGCCCCACCACTCAGAGACGGAAGGAAGAATAAATCCCAGCGCCTGGAACCTCCAATCAAGCCACGCTTTTCCGTATCCTTTGGTATAAGGGAGATGTTGGGGACTGAAACATACGTTAAGAAAGGTGAAAGCTTGCTTTCTTAGAGGTCTTTTGGCAAAAGGATTATTGGTAGCGTAGTGAAGTTGGCCGGGGGAAAAGTTCTCCAATCAGACTTCCAATCCCAGCCCTACCACTTCCTGGGTATGTGTCTTCGTCTGTCTGGGCTGCCAGATCAAATTAGACTGAAAGACAATTTATGCTAAACTACAGACATTTATTTCTCATGGTTCTGGAGGCTGGAAGTCTGAGATCAGGGTGCCAGTGTGGGCCAGCACCTTTGCCTCCTTATAGCAAGGATTACCTTTCGTCCTGTTTTTAATAACATGCCCCTCCTTTCTGTCTGAGACCTCCCCATAATCCCACCAATGTCCATATGTCTAACATGCACCTCAAAACTCTTCCAGGCTCGACCTAGTACCTGGTTCCAAAGCCTCTTTATAACAGGTATTCGTTACAGCGACAACCCTCTTCTCAGTAGCAAAATCCTAGTCTCTTCAAGCTGTCATAACAAAATACAAGACACTGGGTGGCTAAAACAGCAGAAATTTATTTTCTCACAGTCCTGGAGGCTGGATGTCCCAAGATCTCTAGTCAGCAAACTGGACCCAGGAGAGGAGGTCCAGTCTGAGTCCAAAGGCCTGAGAACCAGGAAGGTCAATGGTGTAAGTTCCAGACCAAGGCCTGGAGAAGCCAATGTCTCTGATCACACAGTCAGGCAGGGGAAGCTCTCTCTTGGCAGCCTTTTTGTTCTATTCAGGTCAGTTGATTGAATGAGGTTCACCCACACTAGGAAGAGCAATCTGCTTTATCCAGTCTACTGATTCAAAGGTTAATCTCATCCTGAAACTCCACACAAACACAACCAGGATATGTTTGAACAAATGTCCGAGGGCCTTGCAGCCTGGTCAGGTTGACACAGAATTAACCATCAGTATGTGGTGCCCCAAAGTCTCCTCCTCAGTGTTTATCAGTTTCCTCAGCTGTAAAATGGGGATAATAATAAAACCAGCCCCATAAAGTTGCTTCAAAGAGCAAACTTTTTAATATGAGTGTGGACACTTGGCAGTGTCAGGCCCAGTGAGGACTCAGTAGCTGATGGCTAGTAGTAGCGTCACTGGGTCGTACCCTCACCCATAACACGTCTACCTTGAAAACTAGAATTTTCACAAATGAGTTCAGGTCACCCCTGAGTATGCTGCCATGTTAGTCGTCTTCATCTCAAACAGATCATCCCAGGACAATACGACCTGGCACTGGAACCCACTGACACTAAGCAGCCTTCCTGGGCTCTTCTGCAAGAGAGGCGCGTTTGGACCAGTTAAAAATACACATCCCAGGCTCCACACAAAGGGCTGCTTTAGAACAGCCCCTATTGGGCACGAGGCCCAGGGATCTGCATTTTTAACTAGAACCTCAGATAACTCTGATGTGCGAGAGATGCTGAGAACCACTGCCGTCGGGGAACTCAGCACAGGATACTGACTCATTATTTCCCTCACTTTGTTTTATTACATTTATTTGTATGTGCCTTCACGTTCTTGCCCCATTTGAGTTTCTGTTAGCATTTCATCATCCTGGTTGTATATCCTTGTCCTTCAGGGTGGGGTTCAGGGAAGTCTGCTCTGGCCGAGCTTATGGTCCAAGGTCTCCTCACCCCGGCTTGTTTACTGCTACCGGCGACATCACGCCCTTGCTAACCCTCAATCATAACAGACAGGCCTGCCCACTCCCTCCTGATTTATCCTGTATTGCGTTGCCTCCTCACCCCGACCCCCTCTTCTTGGTGATTTAAGGAGCTGTTTTTGTTGTTTCTAGAGCCAACACATCTGTCATCCATCTCCCTCCATCTTTAAAAACATTGGAAAATCACTGGTTGCTGAGCGCAAAGTGAAGCTTGCACCAGAGGACCATTTCTTTTGAAAATGGCTTTCCCTTGGTGGGACTGGATTGTCTGGGCTTCCACTCTTGCTGCCATTTAGATCAGACCCTTAAACTCAAGTAGACAGCGATGCTTCTCAGCGTGGGTTTGTAGATAGAACTGCTTAATCTTGTGAAGTAAAGTCAACTTTGTGCTTCATCCATAATTTCTCCTTTTTGCAGACGACTCTTTCTCCACGAACACAGAAAATTAAGCCATGGCGACAACTGAGAAATAATAGGGCACAACGTGTGTTCATGGTGGACTGTGAATAGACTGGATTAAGAGCTGGTCTGCCTCTAGTGGAATTCTATCATGAGAGCCTTACTAACAGGAAATAGCAGAAATCAAGTTTAGTTAACCTAAAGAAAGGAGGAATTTGCTGGAGGAGATCAGAGAACTCCCAGAAATGTCAGGCTCAGGGCACAGGTAGGAAACTCAGAAGCCTGGGTAGCTGGACCTCTTGGAGAATGTGGTCATCACAGGAGCCTGGGAAGGGGCTGGGCAGTGCCCCCAAAGACAGTCACTTCCAGGTTCAGAGCCTGGGCAGGAGTTCTGATTGGCTGACTTCCACCGCACGCCCTCCTTCCCGCTGCCAGAGACCCTCCCTTAGAACTTCCGTAATGGGAGATGAGCCTTCATCCTCTCACCCAGGGTTCCCCCAAAAGACTAAGAAGATTTGGATGTTGTGTAGTCTTAGGACAAAAGCCCACCCCAGACAGGACTCACATTCCCCCATCCCCACCGCAATAATAGCAGCCATCAGTTGCTGAGGACCCCTGTTTCTCCACGCACTGGGCTAGACACTCCACGTGTGGAATCGCTCATCCTTACCACCGCCCTCTAAAGTAGCTAGCAGGATGTACTTTTTACAGCTGAAGAAACTGAGCCTTGAAGAGGTTAAGTAACTTTTCTGTGGCTGTGCAGGTGATAAGTGATGAGCCCACGCTCCCCTGAGCCCAGAACTGGTGGCCAGTCCACTCCATCACACTTCTGCCTCTCTGTGTTATTTTCACTGAAGTTTTTGCCTGTATCCCAAGCAGACCACACAAACAGGACTTGTTTCCATGCTATTACATCCACGTTTGAATGATAAAGGGTATTGACAGATTTATCTCTAAGGTTCCATCTGTATCTTTCTGTGTTTCTATAACTAAATTCTGATGACTTACCTTTTTTTTAATTAATTGATTTTTTTTTCAGTGGAGGTACTGGAGATGGAACCCAGGACCTTGTGCATTCTAGGCATATGCTGTACCACTGAGCTGTACCCACCCCACCTGATGACTTCCATTTTAAAATGGCATTGAGCGTGTAACTGCAGAGCAGATCTGGCTGCTGTTGGTGGAACCATTATCAATTTCAAGTGCGATGCTGCCTTCTTTGGTCCCATGCAGCTTCCCCTGGAAGACCGTACCTCCCCTGCCAAAGCGAGTCCCTGAAATCTGTTCGGAAACTAACCACAGGCCTGTGTCCCAGTGGAAGTGGCTGCTGAACACAATTCCTGCTGTCTGGTTGGTGACGTGCTAATCACCCTTTGTTGTTCTAAACAAATACGTCTCAGCAGAGACTCAAAGGAACTTTTTCAGAGAAGAAAGTGGGTATGTTCACACCGATTTTATGTGGGCAGAATGAGCGATGCTTAGTCAAATAATCGCTCCTGATTCTCACTTGGGCATATGTGGTTTGGACTAGAAACTAAAAGCTACTTGGACAATTTTGCAGAACCTTATCGCTGGCTTCGGTCTGGAGCTCCTGTCTGAAACAGCAGGTAGCATCAGGGCATTAAAAGACATACGCGTTGGGTTGGTGTGTTCCTCCTTCATGAGGCGCAGTTTGTGATTCATCTATTTAATTGTGCTGTAAACGGACATTTATGGAGCACCTGCTTGGGGCTAGGGATGTATCAGTGTTGAGATTTTACTTACAAAAAAAAAGACAAAATCCCTAGCAGGTGGTGTGGTGGTGTCAGGGGAGCAGGTAGACATGAAAGCAGAATGAAAATGCAGGATGATGGAAATGTCATGTTATGAATGCCTGGAGAGTGTGGTACAGGAGCACAGAGAAGGGCCTGACTAGATGTTTTGGGGGTAAATCTGGAAAGAAATAAAGAGAAGTATTTGAGTGGAGTCGTAATGAAAACAGTGTAACCAGAACATTACGTGGGAGGCTCTTTGTAGCTGGAGGTCAAAAGTCTGCACGTTTTAGGACCTACAAAGTTCAGGATGACTGTGAGTGACATAGGAGGGGGTTAATCAAAGAGTGAAAGGAGAATTTTAAAAGGAGCTAAAACAGACCCTGATACGAATAGTCATAGACATTATGCAAAGACCTTGGATTATGTTAACAGGCTTTTCACGCGGAAGAGGGGTGTGATGGGACTATATCTGAGAATGACCGCTCTGTTGACAGAAGAATGAATTAGAGCAGAAAGAGGACAGGAGACCTTACAGACAGCCAGGCTGCAGGTGCAGTTTTACCATTTTGGTGACAATTTATGGAAGAATGAGAAGGCTTATCGTTCTCCCACAGTCTCTTTAAAAACATGAAAGCCGTAAGGACCCAATAGGAGAATTTCATGGAGTATTTTCATGAAAAAATAATTACAGAGATTATTTTCTTTTACTGGCCTGAAATCTTAAAAAAAAAAAAAAAGACAGTAGGCCAGTACAGTGAATCTTGCCTTTTCTAACATAAATTTTATATAGCGTGAGACAAATTTTGTCTTCTAACTCATAAGATGATTAACAGCAAAGTCGTCAATTATGGAGAATCAGTAAGTTGTTAAAGAATACTGCTTCTTAATTGAAGGCTTTTACACTAGTTGTCTACCTCCTGAAAGGACTTATTTCCCCATTCAGTGCTAAATTTAAGGACCCCTTTCAAACATCCATCATGTATCACTGAACCGGATCGGAAGACATGAGTGCGGACTGCTTTAAGGCATGTCAAAATGAGTAAGTGTTTTAGTAAGCTGTTCTATTTCTAATACAAGCCGGTGAAAAAACAATGAGCCAGTCTCCAGTGTTAAGATGGGAAAATATGAAAACCATCCCGGCTTACTCCACTCATCACCATGGTTTCATCATCTATTACACAGTAAAACAAACATAGCCACTGACTATAACCCTTAATGAGCATATGTGACTCTGATAATGTTTATCAGGTTTATTTGTTTGAGGCCAACTGAAATGAAAAGAAAACAGTGCAGCGGTGGGTCATTAGTCTCTTCTGACGTGTGCTGTAACTCTAAGGAAAACATTAGTAGCCTATTTTTAGCAAGTACCTTCATCCACTGAAGCGATAATGGCCCAAGGAATAATCCCTGGGATGGAAAACAGAAATTCCCGGAATTAAACGTTCTTGCTCATCTGTGCTATGGTCACAGGAAATCTATCAGCGCCGTCCTTTCTCATCAACATCGAGAAATGTTTCGCATCAGACCGTTATGCAATACTCTCCAACTAGACTGCCTTCTGCCTTCATCTCTGCTAAGTCAGGGTCCTCCCAGACAGAAGAAATGAAAAACGTCACCTCCTCCCGGAAGCCTCTCTTTGCCTGTAAACGTTAGCCCTTGTACTTTATATTATTTTCATTTTTGTAATCTGTCTATTTTATGTTCTTTCCAATCTTCAAAAATCCTATTGAAAAAACTCATACAGAAATGACAGAAGCAAGACATCTTTCTAGATTCCACTGCGATTGCTGTATGTGGAAGGAAGCAGATAGATAAAAAAGGTAGTTTCTTCCCTGTGGGGGTACAAAACCCAGCAGAAGGGATAAGGCAGATGGAGAGGGTCAGAGAGTGGTCCTCAGCATCTGAGAGGGACGCAGCCGCTGTCACCAACCCCGGGACTCAGTGATTGACAAAGAGTGTGTGTGGACATGAGGGGGTGGCCACCAGCCAGGCTGGTGGGGTGGAGGGAGAGGAGGGCCTGGGCAGGAGTTTGAAAACTATCAGGAGGCACTGGAGAGCCAGAACAGGGCCTTTGGAATAAACAAAACAGATACGAGTTAAAATATGGGACCTTCTGTCTGTGTGATTTTGGTAAGTTACACCACGATTTGGGGGCATGTGAGATGACTGTTACCACAAATGAGATTCTGTGAAAAGACTCATTAAATTGTCCAGGTTACAAGTTTATGGTTCTTATTGCTATGATTTGATGCTTCTCAGGGAGTTTGCCTCCCCATTCTTTCCCCCATTGGGGAATCATTGTATTTAATTGTGAAGTGTCTCCCAAGGGCAGTGTATGTGGGGAATTCAGAAGAAAAGGAGTCCTCTGACTTTGGGGGTGGGGCTCAGAGTGGGCTTCGTGGAGGAGATACCACTTCAGCTGGTTTGTAAGAGTCAGTTATGATTTGAGGAAGCAGCGATGAAGGAGACAGACCACCCACCCATGAGCCAGATAATAAATGGAGAACATTTACACACTTCTTTCTTGGTGTTCCAAGATGAGTTCCAGGCCTTTGTTGGATACTCCCTCCAGAAATGGTAAGCTTCTTAGAGCAGGGACCATGATTTTACATCTTATTTATTATCCCTACAGAGAAGCCAATAGAAATAAAATAAATGCTTTTTGTTGATGGTCTGGGGCCTGTGTGGAAGCCATTCTTATAACTGAAAGCTTATTTGATGCACTTTGCAACCTCCCTCTCTCTCAGAAACAGAAAAGGAAGCTTGGAGAAAACCAGGATGGATCCAGGAAGTAGGATGCAACTGTGTTGTACTAGATGGTTTAACTTGTGTGAGCTCCATCTGTACCCTCTAAAGAGCATGGTGTCTGTAAATAGGATCATGGTGCTTTGGGTTTCTTAATCTTTTGTAATTCCTCATTCATTGGTAAATGCTTTTATTTTATTTGTAAAATTTCCAACATGTTTCCAGCTATGCAAAGAGGCAACTGCCCTTCTGTGACCACAGAGGGGGAGCCCTGAGTTCCTAGAGGACAGCTGTGGGCCTGAGGAACAGGTAAGAACTGCTTCTCTCCTGCTGTGAGAAAGCTTCCCTAGGAAGGCTGGGTCAGAGAGGCCTCGTATGGAAGAGTCCCGGTGACAAAGGGAAGAGATGTGGCTTTGGAGTAAGCCAGACACAGCCACAGCCCCACTGACTGGCACTGTCAGCCTAGTAAAGAATTCTCTCTTTGCCTATAAAGTAGGGAAAGAAAACATATCTACAAGTTGTAAGGATTCAAGAAGTGTCTTCAAGAGCAAGCATGTTGTGAGTTGTGTCATGAGATAGACAGACACAGAGATACAGAGGAGTGGGGAGAGAGAGAAAGTGAAGGACGTGAGGGGACAGGATTAGGAGTCAGGACCGGGGACCTCGTTAAAATCCATATTCTGATTCCAGAGGTCTTGAATGAGGCCTGAGTTTCTGCATTTCCAGCCGCCAACCCCCAGCGATGCTGCCCTGCTGGTTCGGTGACCACTGGGGTAGCCAGGTTCGAGGTGGACCTCATCACCCTGATTTTCATTCCCCAGAAGCCCTCCCCACCACCCGGCAGATGGCAGCCCTGGGTGTGTCCAGATCCTGCGTGCTGTGCGCTCACTGCACAGAGGACAAAGCAGGGTTACGGCGGGCGCAGGTTATGTCCTGTCATCCCTGCTTATCCTGAGAAGCTTAGCTGGAAGCTCCTTCACCAGTGGAGCCGAGCTCCTGAGTCAGGAAGCATTGGTGGAATCATGGCCAAGGCCTGGGTGGAGGGCTCCTCGGGGGGAATGGGGGGAAATGAGTCTCAGTGTCACATGTTCTCACCATGGGTGGGTGTTCACATCTCCCTGCACAGGAAACAACTTCATCTGCGTTTCCCTTATGGGTCCTGGGAAAGCAAATCTCTCCCTGGGCGGAAGGTGGGTAAGAAGGTGACTTGTTTCCCATCGGCAAGAACGGTACCTGTGGCCCGAATCCAATCCTAGGGTTCTGCACATCTGAGATGCAATTGAAGAGCAACAGATTGGGCGTCAGAAGAACTGGATGTCACTCAGAGCTCGGGAGTGACCTGCGTGTGTCCTTGGACTAGCTACCCCGCCTCCCAGAGACCAGAGTTTTCATCTGTAAAAGAGACATTATCAAATAGCACAACCTTTCCAACAACCCTATTATGAAGAATGAGTGAGAAAATACAGGAAAGAACTTTGAAAACCAAATAAAACATCACACAGTTACAAAGGAGTATAGGAACAGGAGTTCTAAGGCACTTTAGCCACCCAACTGCCCACCTATAAAATTATGTCCCAGACTCTCGAACCCTATTAGGTGGGACCTAAATATACCTGAGGAAGGGGCTAAGTGGAGAGGAAGGTGTGTGTGCTACTCAGGAAATCCATCAGGAAGTCTGTCCTCATTCACGTGGTGTGGTCACCGCTGCCCCAAAGTTTGGGATGCCTGTCAGGACAGGGACAGCCAAAGCAAGACTCCAAATAGTGGACCAACAGGTGTGCAATGTGCATTTAGCTTAAAGGTAAAGGGGTCTATCTGCTTTAATAAAGCACATTTGAGTAAGAGGATTGAGTCCAGTTTCCTCCGTATCACTGACACTAAAATGCAAACACCCCCGAAGTCGAACGTAAGGAGTGAAAAGGACAAAGAGCGTATTGATGGCTCTCCTCTCCCAAGGCCTCAGCCCCCTCTCTGGAAGCCTGCCAGCTCCCTACCATTACTGCAGCTCCTTGACCTGAATTAACAAACCCCAGGCCCTTATTTTGAAGAGGTTGACGCACAAGCTCTGGATAGGGTTTCTCGGTGTTTTGGGAAGAAGCGGGACTCACTCCTCAGGAACGATGCAGCACACAGAGCAGGGGATCTGGGACCGGGCCAGAGGAGGGCACAGGAGGTCTGCACCGGCCATGAACTTTTTCAGCGTCTCAGTCCACTCAGTCCTACAACCAGAAGATGACCTCTGACCCTTCAACAGTACGATTCTTGTAGGTGATGAAACTGAGGACACTGAAGGGGCCCTAGGTGAGCTCCAGGGCTGGGAACAGAAACAATGAGAAAGTCAAATAATCGGTTCTGTTTGCCCAAAAAATGACTCTTCCATTTAGCCACTGGAATCTGCCTAAATGTTATCTTCTAGGTGTCTCTTTCCCCGACACCCACTGAGCAGATGAACAGCCACCCCAAGATGTGTGCACACATTCCATCCCCTTATCTCCTCCTCTGTCTCAGCATTTGTCAGCCTATGTTTTATTTTTCATTTTCTCTCTTCCATCACGATGATGAAAGTTCCAAGATAGTCTGATTTCTTTCTTTTCTCTTATATCCCCACCACCACTCATGGCCTGAAAATCATAGGTGTCCAATAAACATCTCTGAATAAATGATACCCTGGTAGCAATGTCCATGAACTCTGCCTTTAGTTTTAGATTATTCTTGTGCTTTGCACTTATTCTTCTGAGCCCCTCAATATTTTCCTGAGCCATCATCCATCATCATCATCATCATCACTGCAATCATCACATAAAATTGTGTATTTCCATTTGTGCAGAATCTGAAAACCTACGGCTCTCCATGGCAACAGCCTCCTGGCGATGATTCATTGGGCAGGAGAGGGACCAATGATTGCACTTCCAGTTAAATATTTCCCAGCCTCCTTCAGGCAGGTCGCTTCCTTTATGAAATCCACATCTTGGGGTATGTTTCTCCCCAGGACATTTACAAAAAGTGACCAGGTTACTTAGATTTTTTTTTCAAGTCATAAAATCACTTTCCTGATGATATCACAAATTAGAGGCCAATGGTATGCCGATATTCGAACTCCCTGAATTGCGTAGTGACTTCCAAGTGGCAAGAAACAAATTTCTCTAGTGTGAGCAGTTTAGTCATAGGCAGGAAAACGTCTTTGGAAAACATCTAACGTATAGTAAACGCTCGACATTTCTGGAGTGAATGCCTGGATGAAACCCGCCTGGATGCTTCCTCTTTCCCGCCTATGTTGGTGGCTTGAATCTGGGGATTTGCGGTAGAGTTAACTACATGTCCGTAGTTTTTTTTCTCCGAAGCCCAGCTGTCCCTGCATAGCCTCTGTCTTCCTGTACATAAAACATTCCTTGTGCATCTGGAGACTTAAAGAAAGGACCCCGCCAGTCTGCACATGAAATTCGCAGCACTCCGCTCCTGCACCTGTGGGCTGTGTGATCTGGAATATATTTGCATTTCCCGGTCACACTTGGAGCAGCGAGATTTGACCTTCAGAAAGCAGTGGTTTGCTGAGAGCCTGTTCTTAGTTCTTTTTAAATCATGTACACGTGGTGAGAGCCGGACACCTCTGCCTACCAAAGGCTGAAGGAATGTGCCTCGGAGCCAAGTCTAGACCGAATTCCGAGCCTGGGGAGTCAGTGGGACCGGGAAATCACCACCGGGTCCATGCCAACTTTGTGTCCTGCAACTTTACCATTTTTGTGTTTCTGGATCGTAGCCAGCATGGGAGGCCTCTGGTGCCAAGAATGACTGTAACAAGTGGGTTGAGGTTTCCACTGGAGGTTAATTTAAATGTTCCACCTTCCTTCAGCTCCTCATTTAGAGTGTGTTACATTTCCCGAGGCAACCCCAAGATTTTCCAGGACTCTGCTTTGCTGAAGGAAGGAGCGGGGGGATGCCAAGCCATCCTCCGTCCTGTCTTAGTTTATAGCCACCTGTAATCAATCATCTGGTGAAATGGGGATTTACAAAAACAATTGAATTAGGAAAGTACTAATCCCAACTGTCAATGTGATGAGGAAAGTACCGAATCGAAGGGAAGGAGACAGGCACGGTCTTCCCACCTCACTTTCTGCAGACCAGGTGCCCCCTCCCCCTTAACTCATCTCCATCCAAGGCTGTGCCAATCCTGAGCCACACAGCTGGTACCCCATTAAAAGCTGGCACCCCTCTCCCTCGTGTGGTTCCCAGCCTTTATCTTAGACTGCCTGTCTCCACCCATTTCAAAATCTGTGTCTTGAGGACAACATTCCCCCAGCCTCTGACTTTTTTTATGTAGGGTCTACTGTCTCCCACTCTTTCTCCATCAACCTGCACATCGGATCAGTCTTGAAGTCCTACTGATCTGATTCCTGCGTGTTCATGTCCACCTGCACTGCGACTGCACTGGTGCCGGTCCTGGTCTGGTCCTGTCATCTCCCACCTGGCCCACCACAGTCACCTTCTGCTCCCCCTCCTGCAACCCCAGCCCCACCCTCAACCCCATTCTCCGCCGCACTGCACGGTGGATGGACCACGTGGATCTGGTTTTGCTCTTTCCTGCCTACATTCTACTGTTTGATGATACCAGACAGTTGGTGGTCAACCTGGCACTGCCCTCCACACACACCCCTGCTCTACTGTGATCTGCCCCGGCCCTTGTTTTGTCCAGGTCCTCACTTGCTTCGCTAACATTCACGTCTCCAGAATCGCATAAGGTTGCAGGTTCTAGAAGTCTCCTTGAAAGTATCACCTTGGGCCAAATATCCTTTCTCACTTGGCTCCTAACTTCCCATGTCATGGTGAAATTGTTTGATGGTACCTCTTCCTTAAACTCTTGAGTTCCTAGAGAGTAAGATTTTTACCTACAATGCCTGGCCCAATGTCTAAAAGCCAATAGGTACTCAAGAA